ATTGTCTGATCAAAATAAAGCAAATAAATACTAGCAATAATACAACAAAAGCAACAAAAACCCAACAAAAAAAATGTAAAAAGCCACGAAATTTACACTCAATCCAAGATGAACAACTCTATGAAAACCAAGCTTTCAATTGAATTCCTTTAATAAAGTTTTTTCTAACGAATTAAACACAAATATTACAAAATCCGAACAAAGATGAACGCTAAAACAGCACCAAAATCACTTTCAACTCAGGTAAACAATTCTCATGAGAAAAAGATTTCTAAATAAAAAGAAAACCATCAAGAAAAAATGTTTTTTAACCAGATATCAAAACAAGTCTGATCAAAATTCTCACAACTAAAACACATAATACTGAACCCAACAAAATGAAATCCTACCCAGATCGTCTAGCAGTGAAAAAGCTTGGCTCCACAGGCGGGTCCAATCGGAGGATCCGAGAAGGTATTAGGGTTTGGGTTTTGTCGATAACAGGAAAAAAAAGGAGAGAGCGAAAGCGGATCCGAGTTTGGATTATGGAGGAGGATTTGGGTCAAGATCCGAATAAGAGTTTGGGTGGGTCAACGTCGAGACGTTTTATATTCGTTTAATAATTGGATATTCTTATGGCCACCAATCAGAGGAAGAAAAGGACGGATTGAATTTGAATCAGGTTTTGGTTTAGGTTGGATTTTTAAGTTTTATTTTTATTTTTTTGGTTATTTAGGTTTGTCTTAGACATTTCATGTAGATACGATAATTTATGGTTTTATATTTAGGTTATTTTATATTAGATGTATATAATATATATTAAACTTATTTTATCTTGAATATATATAAATATTAAAATTATTATTTTATAATTTATATTTGTATATTAAACATTAAATATATTTTTATTTTTATTCAATTCATACAAAATTTTTATTAAAATTTTAAATCATTATATTTTTAGTTTTTATTATTTTTATGATATAATTATATTATATTTAAAATTATCACATTCACATGTCAAGTTTTATTTTACTCTTTTAAGTTTGTCTTTCATTTTTGCAATTAAATCTTTTTCAAAATTTTATTTGGGTGTTGAATAAAATATAAATGTTTACCAATTGGAACCTAACAGATAATTTGCTTTTATATTAATTTTTGTGTTTTGTAAGGTCAATTATTTTAACAGTTTATTGGCTTATGTGATGTTTGATTTTTTTTAATTAAATAAATTTAAAAGTTTAATAATATTTACACCAAAATAAAAATTCTAATCCCTTAAAACACTTAGCAAACCCCAGCTACTATCATGTTAACCCCTTAAGAAATTCAAGCTCAATTTATGTGATTTTTATAAGGAAAGTTAGCCCATCTCCTCAAACTAAATCTATTTATATCTTAACCCAATTTTACATTACAAAGCTAAAAGACATTTTGATCTTGAGTTGAATAGGTAGATCTAATATTAGTGAAGAAAGATAGCAAAAGTGGGCATATGAAAGTTATTCTATCTTTAAATTGAAATATAATAAAGTGTTTTACATTCATTTGAGTTATATGCATGAATTAAAGATAAAGTAGATTTGTATGTATGAATAGCATAAGATATTAGAAGCTTGCTTTTGAACTACATTATTATGACTTTATATTTATTCTTAATTTTATATTATGTAATGGTACATATTAAGAGTTTTGTATAATTTTTTACTTTAAGGATATTTATAATGTTATTTAGTTTTGTTGATTTGAGGTTTTGCTTGAGGACAAGCAAAAATTCAAGTATAGAGGTGTGATAGCATTAAAATATATAAAGATTTATGGTGCTAAAATTTAAATTTTTGGATGATTTTTGGCACTTTTCATATTATTTTCAAAGCTTTAAGTTTTTCAAGTTCAAGATTCATTTTCATGCAAGCCATGCATGTAACCATGCAAAGCTCACATTTGGCCCAACTTTACATACATAATGCCGCCCACCATTAGTCCATATTTAAGTATGCACAAGCCCATTTAATCTCTCCCTCACATTCGGCTAAGGTGAAAGTTCAAGATAAACATGTTTCTTTCTTAGCCACGAAGAGAATGACTTATATAAGGACATTAGTACATTCGATTATACAAGGAGGTAGGCAAATTTGCAAGCATTTGGACTCTCTAAGCTCAATCCATTCGACCAAGAGGAGTTTGAAGTCAATCATGAGTCTTTTGTTTAGTCTTGAAGAGTTTGCTTGGAAGAAGGCTTTATCTCTTTGAAGATCAAAAGTTTGGATAAAAAGCAAATTTATCTCCTCTTGAAATCTATTATAGCCGAACCTAGGGAAAAATTTATCAAGATTTCATCAAGTGAAGATCAAGGGCTAAGATCATCATCATGTTCAGCTAAGGCATCTAAAATTGAAATGTTCATCTTTTTCATGCAACTTTGAAGATAAAGATCAAGCTTATCCTCTAGAGTTTGAATTTGAAAATGCAACTTGTAATCTTTTGCCCCTTGATCAAATCCCATTCTATAAATAGAGAGGTCATTTCTTTATTCTAATCATCCTACTTTTCATTTCTCTTTTTTTTTTTGTTTTATAATTTCAAAGTTTCTTTTAGTTCATTATTTTTTTTTAGTTAAATTAATGGTTTAGGTAATAGATTTGTCAATAACTAAGATTTTGTTTTTAATTCTTTTTCTAATCAAAGAGTATTTTCATTCTAAGATCTCTTTTCTTGCTTTTAAAGTTTGCAAATCTTGTTTCTTATTTTTTTAATTTTGGCATAAGCAATCTTTAGTTTTCAAGATCCAAGTTTTCTTTAATTTCTTTGTAAGATTCGACCTACACTCATTTTGATGTTCTTTAATTTCTTTTCATGCAAGCCTTTTTTTAAAATCTCTTTAGGTATTCGACTACTACTATTTTTCTTATTTTGCAATCTTTTGATTATTGTTTTATTAGATTTAGTTTTTGGCATTAATATTTTACTTCTCAGAAGACAATCGGTGAAGTTAAAAACCTTACCATATGTTGCCTTTAATATTTACTTGATTTGTAAAACCTTAAAATCCTAAATATTCATGGGTTTAGATATAAGATCTCATCCTTTTGCCTTTGATAATTATAAGTAACCTAACATTATTTTTTATAATCCCTAAAGAAACAATACTTAGAATACTCCACCTTATTACTTAATCTATGCACTTGTAGGCTCTATACGAAAAGTAACAATTAGTCTTTCAGACGGTGGGGCAAGGCTTGCTCAATGCTTTTCGAGCCCTCGTGCCCTATTATAAAATCGAGTAGGATTTGAAAGATTATACTTAAGATTTGCAACTATCCATGGAAGCCTATAAGAAACCAAGGTCTTTTTAGCCGAGATCAAGAAGGATAAGAAAGACCTTAGTAAGAAAATAAAAAATTTGGCTGACAAGCTCGAAGATATGTCTATGCAAAAGGCCATAATTCAGTCACTCCAACAACAAGCTGACCTTATGCTTAATGATATTTTGGCCAAGGTAGTGAGGTTGAAATCAAAGTTGGAGGCTAAAAAGAAGATCATGCAACAAGCAATGGATGAGTTCCTAGCCTCTTAAGAAATTTATGATATGCAAATGGAGTTTGCTCTGGCAAATGAGTATTTTCAATTTCGTTTTGCTAACCTAAACCTTAGCCTCTTTGATGTCAAGCTCGACAACATTAAGTCTCGGCAAGCCCCTGCTATTGAAGCCACCGAGGATGAAGAGGATGCAAAGCTTGAAAATGAGATCAACACAACTTTTGAGGCTAAAGCTAGTGCTAGTGAGGCTCAAACACCCACTGTGGAGCAAGAGGGAGATGTTGATGAGGCTTATGAAGGAGTTCTCTCTTTTTATGTGTGTTTTAATAATTTTTTTGTAAACTCTGAGAATTTTTGTAAAGGTCTTGAATTAGATCTTATAAAGGCCACTTTGCAAAACTTATGTGAATTCAAATCTTGTAAAGGCCACTCAACAAAACTTTTGTGAACTCACATTTTAATGAAATAGAAGTATACTTTTGCCCAAGCTTTAGCTTTGTCTTTTTTCTTTTTTACCTTATAGTTTGTTTTTATTACACATAACTGCTTAAGTTTTAGTTTGGATAAGATGTTCCTCTAGCAATTTGAAATTAAAATCAAAACAACTCTCTTAGCACTGAAGTTTTTCTCATCCTCTTCTTCGGGTCTAACTTGCTCAAAACATGGAGGTTTTGCTTGGTTGAAATAATGGAAAAAAGTGAAAACAAAAATTTTGTTAATTTAATGGTTAAGTTACAAAATAAAAAAAAATTGTTATGAATTTTAACTATTAAATTAATAAGTTTTTTTTGTCATTCTCTCTTTTCATCCTTCTTATCAAACAAAGCCAAATTGCCATAGGTATATTTGATTTCTAGGCATTTAGATTTCATGACTGTAGTTTTGGAATTTTGGAGAAAAATCATCATGCCATTTTATCCATTTTCAAAATTATTTTACCCAATCATGTCCAATAGTCCTTTAAAAAGTGTTTCTCAAAGTGTTTTGAATGAGTCATTATTGTTTGACACCATGGATATTTGGTTTGAAGATTTTATTTTTTGAAAAATAGAGATTTTTGGATTCAAAATAACAGAAAAATGAACTGAAAACAACTTAAAATGGTTACGAGAATGGTGAGTCATGAATGAACTTTTTTTTTTTTGGCTTATGTAAAATTGCTATAGGTTCTTGTTTGGTTTCAAGCTGTTACTACTTATATATATATATATATATATATATTTATATGTATGTATGCATGTATGTATGTATGTATGTATATTGGTTTGCTGTTTGCGAGCTAAAATGAAATCAATTTTCTAGAAAGGATCTACCTCATAATCTCTGTTGCATGCCTATTATTGCATTTTGTAGATGGAATCCTAGTAGTATTCCACCAACTAAAAACTTTTGAATCAGAAATAAAAATAATAATAAATAATTTTTGTTTGTTAAATAAAAACCATCAATATCGTCCCTCATTTGATTTTGGTTTCATCCTTCAAATTCCATGTCATCCTCTGCCAAGTTAGACTCCATTCACTCTGATACAAGGGTTTATGCAATTTCAGAAAGTCTTTGTCCGTGGATGGGGAGGCTTGTTTCGTAATTTACTTCCAAAATACACCCTAATGGAAAAATAAACTCAAATTTCCTATTCTTTTGGAAAGTGAAAAAATTAGCTCAGGCCGAGGGCAATATCATTGTTAAGCGTAACTTTGACAGACTTTAATACTGAATTTGCAAATCACACACCAAGTTCTAAATCAGCACACTTACATTTTTAACTGACTTTCTAAATAATAAAACAAACCCATCCAACCAAACTTAAGAATCTAATAACTAAACAAATAATAATAATAATAACAATAAAACCATCTAGGAAGCAAAGCTCAACGCGACACTAACCACCATGCTATCAAACCATTTTTGTACAGCTAAGAAGCAAAAATAATCTGTTACGGTTTGAAACTTCAAGAAATGTTCATGGCTTCAGCATGATAGTTCTCTAACTCCTTGTCAAGATCATCTGCTGACTTCTCCATAGGCTTCATAGGCTTCTTTTTTCCACGGTCACGGCCACGGCCTCTACCACCACCACCACCACCACCACCACGGCCACTCCTGATACCCCTGCGACGGCTGCAATAAGATCCAGCAACTGGTAAATTAACAGCAGATACCAAAATACAACCACTTCTCATTGTTAAACGTTGGCATCAAAAATAAACTCTGGGAAGATGACTTTCAATCAGTTCATACTCATGCACCACCTAAAATTTGTAAAGAACCCAAGATAAGACAAAATAAAAGGATGGATAATTGAATCTACAAACTCCACTGTTACAAGCTGCCTCGTCAGGTATATGGTTAACCAAGCTTAAAACTAAGGCACTAATTTTGATGCCTAATGAAAAATTTAAGGGCTGCATAATTTAAGCACAATTTTTTCTTTTTTTAACAAATAGAATAGCTATAAACTTGTTCTTTGAAATGATAGGCTCAAGGCAACACAAAGGCCTGCTCAGATAAGGGCAAAGGGTATCATATATAAGAGCAAGTCCCATTAACTTGGAAAAATCAAAAGCTCAAACCACAAATTAAGGTTCCATAAAAGTCAATGTAGCCATCAAGCTTCAACAAATATAATTTCACAGTTCTAAGGAATAAAAGCAAAGCAATAACACTTAAAAGAATACTTTTATGTAAAAGGTTATAGAAAAAAATCTTACAAGCAAAAATGAAATAACAGCTCATTCATCATGTATTGGATTAATTTAAATTTAATAACAATTACAATATACACAAGCATATTAAGAAATGGAAATGTAAATTGTAAGGGCATCAGAATTAATGGTAACTTACTTAAAACCACGATTAATTCCAGCAGAGCCTCTCGACTGACCTGCTCCAGGCCTGCATAATTAATTGGCAGTGTAGTGATTGTAAAATGATTAAAAAAAAGTAAATTAATCTGCGAGAGAGAGAGAGAGAGGAAGTAACCTAACAGTGACTGTTAAACTTAAAAATAAAAATATGTACACATGCTCTATAAACAACATATATGCATAGCAAACTGCTAAGAAATATAACAATTTTGCCTACAATAGCAAAATACTTAAAAAGAATAAAAATACACAGAAATATGCGAAAATAATCAGAATAATGAAAGAAAAAAAGGTTCATTTTCCCATATGTAAACCCAAGCAGTTTTCAAAAATTGTTCCAATTGATGCACGGAAGAAAAATATGTTTTAAACACCATGTACCAACAATGTGGATGCTATAAAAAGAAATAAATTACTGAAAAATAAAATACAACCTTCCCTAAAAGCACATCAAAAACTGAAAAACAGTTACATGGACTTGGGAATAAGTATCCAATACAGCTGATGCCACCAACTTGTCTTGAAAATTTCAGACTCCGAGAATCAAGCTTAAAAGTGTAAAAAAATAGGACACAGATACAAGGACCCTTGAATAAATTCTTAGCAACTATAATACTACTGCTGAAAGTTAGAAAATTTCAAAAAAGTTGATGAATAATTTTTGACTCCAACAAAGCTGTTGAAGTGTTTACAAGGGCCCAAAATAAGAAAAGTAAAAACCTATCTTGACCAAAAACCAACATTGAGCTGAAAGTTAGAAAATTTCAAAAAAGTTGATGAATAATTTTTGACTCCAACAAAGCTGTTGAAGTGTTTACAAGGGCCCAAAATAAGAAAAGTAAAAACCTATCTTGACCAAAAACCAACATTGAGCTCATAACTTTTTTTCTTTTTTCTTTTTTAATGGGCTTATGATGACCAAAAAACAATGCTATACAGGCTTCAATCATTTGTTTTTGGGGAATGGAATTAAAACCTGACTGAAGAGCAAAAGCCCTACCACATGTACTGGTCCATGTATCTAGAATATTCTCTTATCTCTTAATCTTCCTTTTCTGTAATAAATTCATTTCCAGTTATTATTTCAATTTTCCTCTCTCTCTCTCTCTCTCTCTCTCATATTCCTACAATCATTCCTCTTATGCTTCATCTCACTGTCTTTTATTGTGGCTGGGTGTAGTTCTTTTATGTTTAATTTGCAGATTTTTTTTATCTGGTGGTTTTTCACATCTAACAATCTATCACTGAAGTCTCTAGCATTCACTTTCATCATTTGGTGTTTGATTCAGCTTGTGTCAAAAGCCAAGTCCATATGCCTAACACTGAATCAGGCACATGTCACATCTGTATGCCTGTTGTGTCCGTTGACACTGGCATTTCAGGAAGTGAACTCAAAACATGATATGAAAATTTTATTGGTAAAATAAAACATAGAAACAAAATAAGGAAGAATATAGAATCACATACATCATAACAAAAGTCAAAGAAAATAAGAATTAGAATCACATACGTCATAACAACTGTCCTTTTCCTCCTTCCTTTTATTCCAGTTACATTAACACGAGCTGAAATAGGGACTTCAGCATTGGCACCAACAATTTCAATTTTCATGGGCTTTCCATCCAACAGTACATTGTTATACCGCTTAAGAGCAGCAAATGCATCACTCCTTCTAAGATAAACAACTTCAGCTGAACCCTGAAAAAAAATCAAACACAATCCAAGTAACAAACATTTGATACAAAATAAGAACCATATAAAATACATGGTATATCATATGAATGAGAAAATATCTATAACATTATAAATTAAAATATAAAGACAAAGAACTAATCAGAATTAAGATTTCATCACCAAACAAGCAAGGCAACAATACCACCCTCAAGCATTGAGCAAAACTTTACACATCCACACATGCACAAGAAAGAGCAAGATAGGTAGGATGTAGCGCAGTCACCTAAACAATGAATACAAACCAGAATTGACCCAATAAAAGGAGTGGGGTCATTTTAGCCAGAAGAGAAAACAAGAGAGATTCCAACATAAAAAATATTGTATCAATAACTGAAAGCTTCCAATAGCGTAATCATGACCATAAATTGAAATTTGTATATTTCAATAAAAAACTTACATTCATTAATTAAATATAAAATCTAACAGCCTTCAATTATTCATCAACACAAACTTGTCATAAAACATGTGAGGCTCCCATGAGTGCTTACTCCCAATGATTTTTCATCAATTTATACATGCAGGCCAGAAATTAGCAGTGCAACTCAGTCAATAACCTGCAAATCTAAATGCCTTTTGAAGAAAAAAATCCTAGATTTATCATGTTGTCAACAAGTAGTTGTCAGAAGCTCTTGTTTCAATACAAAGTAAAACAATTATTTATTAATTAATTAATCTGCATGATTCATCCAGTACAAATATGCTTAAGTTTTTAAAATGTTTTCTATCACTAACTTAAGAGAAATTTAAGTCTTTTCAATATTGTAAGATGCCAAATCCTGTTGCCAGATTCAAGGGCATAACAACCATTATTGCAATAGAATGTCAGAAGCAATTAGTATAAAGCACAAAACTTACACTTGGCTGGCCATTTTTATCATAATGAACTGCATATCTTTTCAGCTCTCCTATTTCAGAGAAAAGTTCCTGAGATGTACATAAAGTTTCAGGGTACTTCTCCAAAAAAAATAACACAAACTCCTTTTATATTTAAAGTCATAAATAAAGGTATCACTTTACCCTTATATCTTCATTAGAGACTCCATGATCTAAGTTGGATACATATAACTTGGTGCCAACTTCTACTCCTGATATCCCTGCAGCTCTAAGGCTGTCTTCAAACAAATCATGCTGCCATGGCAAGCCCTTAGTCCTGTGGGAAGACTAATGAAAGCAAACATAATGTGTCAGCTTATGACTCGATAGCAAGATCACCAGTCTTCAATATGAATGAAGATCAGCTATATTCCCAAGGAATATTTAAACAAAGGTGCTAGCAGTAGAATCCAGTTTAGTAAAACGCTGAAGCAATCCAGCAAAACACCAGCAGATTCAGCTACTGAACACAGATGGGAGTTCAGGATTAGACCCACTTCATTTAAATCAGTACTACACCATGGGCAAGCACTCCAGTACTGAAGGTATGAGAAGGAAGCTCCTTTGTAAAAAGGCCATGAACAGAACAGAAACTGAAATCTTGCACCAAAAAATTCCAAGAATGGCAAGAGGATCCACAGATCCATCATAAACACTAACTTACTTAGAAGTATATGATATGGTTCAGAAATTGGTAGAGCCATGAAATCCTAAAGAAATGATATGCTACTCATCAAAGCTCCATTTAAAAACTTTAATTAGGCAGCAATGCATAATAAATGTCATAAGGCAGCATTGCATCTTAAAAATTGCACAACTGCAGCACCAAAAACTTTGGGAAATATCAATGAGGCCCCACAGGTTAGAAACTCAAATAACCCACAAGGACATATAAATCAATGTAAGAAGCGAGGCTAAAAGTGGTTCCCAATGGACAAAACAATGTCCAAGCACAGGTTTGAGCTTGCCTTGGCAATGGAACTTTGGGATGGGCGGGCATTGACAGCAAGAGGACCTCGACGAGTAGCAAGGGTCATTCTTCCACCACTATCAAAGAAACCACCGGGACCTCTTCCACGGCGCGGCGGCCTGAGTCGTCCTCTGCCTCTCTCACCCTTATTTCGTTTTACCATATCGTCCAGGGTCATATCCAGCGAGGTAGCCATTAAGGAAAGCTATCAAATTAAAAACAAAAAAAAAAGTAAAATTTATTTCTTTCGCTGGGATAGATCCATTTGTAAAATATAATAGAAAGACAAAAATCCCTAAACAAATAAACCCTAAAATCGCAGGGAAATTAAAGAGAAAATTACCTGAAAGGAAAAGTTAAGAAAGATGATAAGACTCTGCAGCTAATTAAAGAAAAAGAGAGAGTTGAATGACAATCTTTTAATTCGGTTTCTAAGGGTTTCAGAGAATTTTTTAGAACTTTTTTGTCTTTCCCAGGAAGCTGTAGGTCTTGAGAATAAGACTCACGCTTTTAAACGTCGCCGTATTATTATCTTTAATGTTAGGCTCAAATATAAAATTAGCATTGAATTAAAATTAAATGACCACCAAAACCCGTATTAATAAAATTTATTTTGAAAATTTATTTTATTAAATTTTTTATTTGAAGAAAATTGATAATTGTGATTAACCAATTTTTGTTTAATTAGAATTCAACAGACGAAAATGAATATTTGGAGATATTAATTATAATAAAACGATAATCATTTAATAATTATTTAATTTTAATTAAGAGATTTTTTTATACTTTATCCTTAATTTTTAACAATTCTTTTTTGTATAATTTTTTAACTTTATAAATTGTGAGGAATTATAGAATTTACTAAATGTTTCATTTTTTTAATATACTTTAAAAAATATATATTATCTCACTAATCCTTACTATAGAGTTTAAAAATTCCATTGTGTGAGTTGAGTTTTTAAACTTTAAGATTATACACTAATGCATTTGGTATTGTGGAAGTAGCTCATTTTGCTGGTATTTTAATTAGCTACAAAGACATTATAACGTTTGGTGTCAAGGAATCATTACAATGTGAGATTACATCGGTACCCACTTTGTTGTTTGTAGCTACAATATGATTGTTTTCCAAAATCCGATGCAAAGTGATTTTGTCAACCTTTGGCAAAGTTACAACTTCCTCTTGAGACAAAATTGTCATTTTCTTTTTTTGTTTAGTGTTTGGTATTATTTTTAAAATTATTATAGTCATCTAATTTTTATATTTTATATAAATTAATTTTTAATTTGTGCAATGTATAGGATTTTTATATTTTTATAAAAATATTTTAATTAATTAATAGGATAATATTATTTTTTAACTAAATTTATATGTTGTTATTGTATTTATTTTAATGTAAAAGCAACATATAAAAGATTTTCTATACAAAATTTCATATAAAATTGGAAAGCATATTTTGTTTTTATTTTTTTCAACAACTTATATATTAGGTTTGGTGACTTAGAATTAAAAGAAGATATTTGGACTTTAGTGTAAAATGTGTGATAGAGCACATAAAAATATAACATTAATTCATAATTAGACAATCACTCATTTTAAAATAAGTTATTTTAATTTTTATGAATTCATTAATCAAACAAAAATTAAGAGAATTTATAATCTAAAAATATATTTTAAAATTTTGTTTTTATATATTAAAAAATCTAATAATTTGATTGCAATCAATTTATTGATATTTATTTTTGTCAATTAACCATTAAATAATAAAATTAAAAGATTTTATTAGCTAATACATTTATATCATACTTGTACATACCACTTGTTTCCGTTGATATGTACATATATTTTAATATTATATTTGGTGCTAGATTATAAATATTAAATATTAAATAATATAAAAATCAAATCAAGATTACGTAGTACTAATTTAATGTAGGATAAAATTTATCTAAATAAGGTAATGAAATTAATAAAATTTTTATAAAAGGTATATAGTTATTAACTTAATGACTATATAGTTTTTAAATTTTATAAGTTTTTGTTCGAAAGTCAAATAGTTGATAGATAATAATTTTTTAAAATATGTTTTTTATATGAATTAATTAATTGAAAGTAACACAAATTTTTTTCTCATGAGATAAAAGAGAGATCTTTCATTTAATGTAGTATTGTATTATTAGAAAAAGAATATATAAAATTAAAATTTGATCTTCTAATAATAATTTAAATTTAAATTTTTTATTATTAATTATTAAATGATAATACATCAAAGTAAACTCATATTCTTATGTAGTGTCAATGTTAAATGTTAGAAGTTAATAATGGAATTTAATTTTGAGCAATTTAAGGTAAATAATAAAGAAAAATTAAATTTTAATTACAACTTGAATTGTAACTTATTAGCTAAATGTTCAATTTAAGACTAAAAATCTAGGGTCTTACTCATATCAATACTAAACATATCATTTTATTAAAATTAGAAGTAAATGTTGTCAGGTTGTAACAAATAAAGACTTTCGAGGATTAAAAATTAACAGTGAAACTTGCACGCTATAATTTAAGATGTTGACTTGTCTTTTTCTGTTGATATGATTAGTTAGGTGTTATTTTTTAATTATCTGGGATGACACATGGCTACATGTATACATTTTTAAATGATAATCACTTGATTAATTAACATAACTAAGATTAATTTAAGATAATTAATTATGTTAATTTAATTTTACGGTAAAAAAATAAAAATGAAAAAAATGCATTTTTTTCTTCTCTAAATAGATTTCTCTTCCATAAAAATCCAATTTTCCCTATACCATAAACACATTTTCCTTTCTCCATCAAAGAGACAGTAAGATTTGCGTTTTCATATGCAAACAATTTTATCTTCTTACTTGAAATCATAACATGATTCGAAACAATCATTATTTTTCTCTTTCTTTGAACTCTAGTATTTCTTTCGTGGTCTCCATTTCTTCTATTGACCCCACCCCCACCCTTTTTGGAATACTAGATTAAGAGATGAATTAGCAGGGTTAAGTCAAAAGCATGCCTAAACCTTTTTTAAAGAAGCCCCAAAGCTTGACATAAGGCAATTGTTGGCTGAACGAGTTCCACCTCCAAAGCTTGCTAATTGTGATTAGAATAACCATCAAGCAAGGTTTCTTTTTTCTAAGTTAAGGAAATAGAGGATACTAGATTTTACAACCGAGTAGGATACTAGATTTTTCATATTGGTTATTGTGAAATTTGGGTCGTTATGAAAAGGGATAAAAGACTATATTTTACATATGGGTTTTGGGATTTTAGGTGAATTATTTTGAATAAAAGTGGATATTAAATCATTTTTGATTTGGCTGGTGGTTTGAATTTTGACATTAAATCAATTTTAAATAAGATTTTAAGAGGTGATTTGAATTTGAGTTTTTGTTTATTCTAGGTTTTTCTTCTATTTCTTTCATTTTTTTTAGTTTTGAATTGAATTTTTTTAACTAAAATTTTCATTTTTAAAATAATAGAAAATGTATAGGTGTACATCCACATAGGCAACTTCTGTTGCCCTTCGGTGACCGTGAGGTAAGTTAATGGCATGTGTATAACATGCACATGAATCCATTACAAAAAAAAAAAAAATCCTTAATTGTTATAACTCGAAAACATTTGGTTTGAATCTAACTTAAATAAACACGTTAGTTCTAATTTGAACATCACTTCAAAAATTTAATCCTAAACTGAACATTTAGCTTAACTTATTTATAAAAGGCAAAAGCAGTGGATATTAATAAGGAAATTATTGTAATGTTATATTTACTATATAAATCATTCAGATAAATCAATTCTTAACTCTTAATCTCTTAAGACGTTTAAAATTTAGATTTGGTTAAGGAATAAAAAATATAGCTCTGACTAGAATAATAGCCTATCAATAGAAAGTAGCTAACTTTTACGATAAGAGGGTATGATGGAAAAATATAAAAAAGGGCAACCTAGTATTTAGATAGGCAAAAGCCTTAGGAGTCGACGACTGAGTTGAAAAATTAACCCCAAATTGAGAAGGCTTCTACATTGTTGAAGAAGTCATTCATGATGTAACCTACAGATTGCAAGACAAGAATAGCAATCCCATTTTAAGGACATGGAATATAGACAATCTTAAAATTTATAACTAGTAAAAGATATAGAGCTAGGCTCAACACTTGTAATTTTGAAGGATGCTTGTTGAATAAAAGTTCCAACCATCAACTACATTTAGTATATTATGAAAATCTAGCGTTCAGGCAATGTGCCATGACCAAAGGTCGAGCTAATGGGCTATCTAACCTGATACTTAACTAAATTTCTTATCTAATCTTTCTAAAATGAATCTTAAAGAATACATTCCTAAACCGAGCTGATGCTTAAATAATTAAATTCAGATTACTAAATTGAATTATCAAGTAAATTTAATGCATCTACAATTTATTTTTTTAAATTTAGTAAGTTGATTTTATTAATTTATATGAGTTGAAACTTGAATAATTATTTTGATCATATTCTTAAAGTAAATTATCAGGTAAAAAAGGTATAGGTAGAGTTGAAACTTTGAGCAAAGAATTTGTATTCATGACATAATTGTAGTTGAGTGATTACAAAAATGAACTGATAAAAGTTTTGTTGAGTGATCCATTACATGGTATGACATGATAAAAGTTTCATAGAGTGATCTGATTAGAGGTCCCTACTAAAAACCTAACTTCCCACTTGAATAAAAATAAATAAAAAAAGACAAAAACAAAAGCAAAAGCAAAAGCAAAAAAGCAAATTCTTTATTCTTCTCCTCTTCCCTCCTCAGCAGTAGCCACAACTTTTTTTTTTTCCTTTAACTCCTTAACCAAGGGCCCAAGAGCAGCATTAAGCTCAGCATCTAGTATAGCATCCATATTTTGGTCCTTACTATCTTTTTCATTTTTATTAGCCAACCTTGGTGGTGACCTGGACTTGATGTTGTTCATGCTGATATCATAGACATCAATTTCAAGATGAAGGAACTTCACCTTATTCAATGCCAGACCAAATGCCTCGAGGACATTCTTTATGGCAAATGTGGTTTGCAAGTTGTAGTAAGTTTTGGATGCCATAAAGTCTTTCACCACTAGCTTTTTGACCTCCTCCTTGGTTTTTTTTTCAACCTCAAGTTTCGTACTTAGCCTTGAAATATCAGCTTAGGCTACATCGAGCTTTTGGTCAAATTGTTTCTGAAGAAACTTAGCTTGGGCCTTTTAAACTTGTGCATTTTTTAGATGAGCAGTAAAATCATCATATTTCCTCTTGAGCTCTTCATTCTCATGCTTGAGCTCAGATTTTTAAGCCTGTAGCTTAGAAATGGTGTCATTGCTCTTATAGAGGTCCTAAGCATATCTCATCCGATCTTGCTTAATCTTGTAATAGTAGACCAAAGCTTTTTTCATGCTGACTAAACCTTGGCTAGCCAACTGGGAAGGATAGGTTGAAAGACTTTCAGA